AAAAATTGTCCATGTGTGTGACTTACATCGGTGGCCATCAGCTCCTCCTGGTCATCAATGCTGGGCACCGTGATCTCTCCCTGACTGACGAAGGCGAAGTCATATGGGTTGGTGGTGATCAGGAGCATTTCTGGGTACATAGAATTCAGAAGGTATGTTTTACATTATATATAATGTTTATGTTCCATTAACTTCTAGCCCGTGAATTGAAGGTTTTTTCTTACCAATTAGATCTGGCTTCTTGTTAGACATGATCTGATAAAAAATATGGTAGCTCCTTTCTGCTTTTAGCTGGAAAGTAACTCTAGATTTCTCCAGAAGATCTGCAATGGGAAGAGGGCATTGGATGTAAAATGGTGACATTATGAAGTGACTCTGGATTGATTTTGGAATTTCGGATTATTAGCTAAATGTCACCAACACGTTGAGATGTCAGGAGCATCACCTGTTACAGCTCTACAAACATGATTGTGGCTATTTTCCTCATGTCAGGAAAGAAACGAAAGCATTTCTAACCCAGGACATGTTCATTTCTCAGGCAGAAGATCCTTGACATTTGAACATGTTGAAGTACATCTTCAGATAATCTCTGCAATTCCTTGGCAGTTGCCACAGAATGATTAGCTCCTGCCTGAAGCAGGTAAAGCACACAGTAGACGATGGCTAAGATTGGCATCAACCACTGGCATGTTTGGCAGCTGACGGGTGTTCTACAGGCTGCAAGCTCATCAGGAGCTTTGTGGTGTTTCAACAAGCCATCGTTTGTCGTTCTTGGATTCTGTTTAAGAGGTCCTGTTACTCACATGTTTCAATATCAGCAGAAGCCAGCTTTCCTGTGGTACCAAAGTGGATCCTGATGAATTTACCCTTGCAAGTGAAAAAGATGATATCGTATTCAAAGGTTGAAGTTCCCCAAAGCGATGCCGTTGATACAAGTCATGTGCTCTCTGATTTTTAAGGCAAGACCCGCTGTGACCAAGGCACTTACAAAGCGAGAAGAGTTGTCGTTCCTCACGGTCTTGGCGTTGCCAAAGGCCTCTAAGAGGGGGTTGGCACTGATGATTTGATCTTCCAGTGTCCCCTACAAAGGAAATACCCATTGGGGAGTTGACCTGAGAACCCAGGCAGGCGCCTAAGTGCAAACCATGGCTCCCAGACTCACCTGCATTTTGCCGGAAGTAGCTTCCTCCTTCTTCTTCTCCCCAGTGACTGCAATTGTTGCGAAGTACTGGATGACCCGCTTGGTGTTCACAGTCTTCCCTGCCCCGGATTCTCCGCTGCCCAGCAAAGACCAAGCAAAGGGGAACAATTAAGTTCAGTGACAAGTGAAAGTACTTCCACCATCGATGCTTGCTAGTTCGTCCGTCAATGCCTACGCCTCTCTGTCACCATCCTCCCCAGATGCTTCTCTTTGGGCTTCATAGAGCGCATCTTGTTTGTGTTGCTTTTCAATGACAGGAGATAGAGAAATCCATCCACTGTTCATTTAACACGTATCGCTAGAGGCCTTCAATGAGCTAGGAGTTTTTGCAGACACTAAGGCTGGGGACTTGAGGTGTCCACAAAGTGACCAAAGAACAACCATATGATACATGAAACCACTTGTAAGACACTTTGCCAGGAGATGCACTCATTCTTCAGCTTTCTTAGGCTAGGGACCACAATGGGGTCTTTGCAGGAATAGACATTCCTCAATCATCCTTCAAAATGAACCACCAAACGGCTCTGCTATCAGAAGGCGAATGTTGCTGACTCCCTGAACTATGGTCTGCTCAGGCGCCGTGATGGGGTTTCATCTCCTACTGCAAGTGCCCTAGTCCTTTCTCGTCAACAAAGGCATCACTCAGGCCTTGGATTTTTTATATCCTGATGCGATCTGAGTCCTGCAATAAAGGGAAAACATGACTCACTTCTGGGCTGGTTGTGTCATTGTTTAGTTTGGGGGCATCGACTAATTTCTTCCCTTGTCTTTCAAGGTCCCCATTGAGAATAAAATACTAATAAGTCAAAGAGCCAGCATACATACGTGATCAGGATGGACTGATTCTCCCGATCTACAGGGGGAGAACATGGGCAGTCAGTGTCATTATCAATTACATAAACAAAACTTTCCACAGAGACACTTGGGGCACTGAGCTGAAGTGCCCCTTTCAGAGGAGCCTGTCAGTGTAGTCTTGTAAAGTTACATATAGGATTATTCCTAAGCCTTTCAAGTTGGGGAGGAAAACATCAAATGTCTTCCTTTCTCAAGTTGCTTAAACCGCGCCCCCCCCACCAATGTCTCCCTGGAGGTGCGCCCGCTACAGCCCTACAAATACGATTGTGACACTTTTCACCATGTCAGGGAAGAAACGAAAGCATTTCTAAACCAGGAGATACTCATTTCTCAGGCAGAAGATCCTTGACATTTGACCATTTTAAAGGTAGCCTTTTAGGGTTAGCAAGAAGAGCAGTACATTACAGAGCCAGCACATTCTGCAGCTGTCTTCAAATTGCCATGGCATGGTGTCCTCTGAGTGAAGCATAGAGCTGAAGATGCTCAGAGGAGTCTGGGCCATCGTTTAATGGGTTAAACGTATTAATAACACTCAGGTTGAGATCGAGTTTCTAAATGGGCCAGAGTTTCCAAATAACCACACACTACAAGGCTAACTCTGAGCCGTCTTCCCAAAAGTGTTCTGTTTAGTCCAACAAAAGGCGGAGTAAGAGAGCATGGCTCCATCCAGAGAATTAGATAAAAATAAATAAATAACAATTCCTGTTTCTTTTCCTTCTAAGACCTGTTTATAATCTCAAAATACCATCTTCATTCAAGAAGAGGATATTATGTGTGGCCTCTGATGGTTTCAAGTGATGATTATGCTTCTAAAAGTATCTAATTTATAATCAATAAGTCATTAGGCTCCAAGGATCAAACACATTTTAACACTTCTAATTCGACCATATGATTCACTTATTTGAATAATCTTATTCACTTGGTATTGGATAATCTTATGCTTCAATTCACTTGTTATTGAATACTCTTATTCTTATTTAAATCTATAAAATAGATCACGTGTTTCCAAGCCAGCTGACTATGTAAACAGTATTGGAGCAGCAGCAGTATTGGGTATAATCATGAATTTGGAGTCGGGAGAACGGAATTACAGTCCTCGCTTTGATGCAATCTGCCTCTCTGTGCTTCTTTGGTCACCTCTTCTTCACATCGAGGGAGCTGGATTATTTCTAAAGGTCTTTGTGACTCCATGAGACGCAGCAATTCTTTGGAAGACAGTTAAGCCACTCACCCGTCAGCATGAACTGATAGGCGTTGTCGGAGATGGAGAAGATGTGGGGCGGGGCCTCCTGGCGCTTTTTGCCTCGGTAGGCGGTCACCACCTCTGAGTTATACACCGGCAGCCACTTGTAGGGGTTGACGGTGACGCAGAACAGGCCCGAGTAAGTCTGCACCCGAATCAGAGAGAGGGAAATGATTTCCTGGGGACCGTAACCACTACTGGTTTTCAACCAGCAGGAATCACCTGCCCGAGTATAAAGTCAGGAGGATGCGCTCACGTAGATCATCCAGGCTGCGTAGCGCTCTTTGAGGTTGTACAGCACGGCGGGCTCGTGCAGGTGGGTCATCATGGCCATGTCCTCGATCTTGTCGTACTTGGGAGGGTTCATGGGGAACACCTGGTCATCTTTAACTGTCACAGTCTGTCAAGGGAGACAAAGGAGGCCAGCTCAAAAAGGGTTGAACCCGCTTAACCTAACCTAACCCCAAACCCTATCCATCCCCGGGTGTTTTACTCACAGCACCACCTTCAGTCTTGGCTGTCACCTTCCCGCCTTCCCTGCTTTGCACCACGGCTTTCACGAAGGACTCCTTAGCGTCCACCACAAAGACAGAGGACTTGGCGTCGAAAGGCTTGTTCTGGGCCTCGATCCGCTCCTTCTCCGACTTCCGGAGGAAAGGAGCAGCCTCCCCAAAAACCGCCATCTCCGCGTCGGAGCTCATGGCTGCGGGTCACGGTTGGCAGCCCAGGTGGGGACCCTGTGTGGCAGAGGCAGAAACGAAATGCTATACATTCAGAAATCAGTCTGTTAGATTCATATTAAACCAAGCACACATGCTTTATTCCCTGGCTAATCGGACACTTAAAATTGCATTTGCTACAACCACCTTCCTGGCTGCATTGTAGATGAAATGTCAGGCTTCTGTGTAATGTGCCAGTGCTGACAGATATCAATCCTGCACTTGGAAAGAGACGGCTGTTTCTGGCTCATCCACCGTGGTGATATTTTAGCTGCTCTCTCCGTTTCCTCTGGGATGAACATGGACCTTTGTAAATTGCCTACCCTTAGCTTACCCTGAACGCAAAACTAAGAGGTGTTCACCCACAGAAGGTGTTCCCAGGTGCCTTCCTGCATAGGTTCTTTTCTCCCCACGTGGGTTATGGACCCCCAGAGGGTGGAGAACCCTTCACAGGGACCACAGGCTGGCAACCAAGAAAGCGCTCAGAGCTGGCTTGGCTTGGGGGGTTCAAAGAACAATGGGAATATGTGGTTAAAATTCAAGGAATTATTTTGCCCAGGTGAAAATCTTTGGACTGTGTCCCTTGAGATTTATAAAGGCTAACCTCATAGAGAGGAGAGCCAAAACACAGGGGGCTGGGCATGGCCCTTGTTCCTTTGTTAACATAAAACATCAGCTACAATCGATTTCTTAGCCTTTCCCGTGAAAGCACAAAGCACTGAGTAAACTTTGGTTTTTGTGGATTTTTACTGCTTCCCCACTCACGCGGCCTGCAGTGACAGATATCACAAGGTCCTTTGTTTTCCTGAAAATGCTCACAGTCATTTTTCAGACCGTGATACTTTTCTGGAATTTCCAATTTATAGATCGTGAAATGAGATGCCCACTCTAAGCATCTCGTTTCCCCCTCCAAAGTAAAGATTCCATCGATTCTGCGTATTCATTGGAAGTGGAAGAGGATTGAGTAAAAGCTGTGGTCATTGACCTGTCCTTCGTAAATGAATGGTAACATCTGGAAAATGTTGTATTGCACGTTGGAATTAAAACACCCCAGAGACAAGCTACAATGTTGGATGTGGAAAGAATTCTATATAAAATCCCCCCAAATTCTGAGAAAGCATATTCATGCATCACAAAGATGTGAATTCCTGGAAACTAGTTCTGAAGTCCCCCTCAGAGTTTTCTTTGTAGGACAGCATGATCAACCATTAAGTTCAAGTGCTTTTATTTCTCTTACTTGCGGTACCACCACCACTCACCACCCACCTCTGACCGACCATTCTCCACACCACTGCAGAATTTGCCTTGTATTTTGATGGGAATGAGAAGGGATGGGGGTGGGGGGTGGGATAAGGAGTAAGCTCTTACCTTACAGATGAAACCTTGAAATGGGTCAGAACTGTGAGAAAAAAAGCATGTTTCATCTGATTAAATTCTAGCAAGTTCCCCCCCAAAAAAATAGCACAGTCCCCAACTATAAAGGTGGAAGTGAGTAGACACACTGACTTAAATAAAATTGCTACAGAGCAAGCACCCTGGTGCCTCCTGAGAAGGGCTGCCAGGGACCACAGGAACAAGGATGTGTGGCATGCACACAGGCAGCCAGGCCTGGCTTTCTGCTGCCCATCCCTCACTGTCCTCCCGACAAGCCCTGTCCTCACACACACTTACCTTGAAGCTTTATGAGGAAAGACAAGTCAGACTCATTCCAAGGCTACTTTTATAGGATCAAATATGGAAAACACTTAGCCTCCTCCTCTTTCTTAAAACGTATTTGGCAAAACAGCTTCTTGGCAATGAAGGTCTCCAAGCATAATTCCCCTCATATTAAAGATGTTTGGATATAATTAGAAAGATTGCCTCTCACATTGGGGTAAGTATATGAACCAATCTCCTATAAATAATTTGAGCGGTTGGCAAGCTGAAAGCGATCTGCCTTTGGAATAATGTAAGGTGTTGCTTCAAAGGCAGTTAGGTGCTGGAATCCCTGGACTTTGTTGCCTCCCACTGCTCTTTCTGTTTCCCAAGGTTGCCTCCCTGGCGTCTTTGCAACTTCCTGGCACGATGGCGAGCTTATTATACTTGGGAGAAAAGTTTCTGCTCTTTTCCAGAGTGTTACAAAAACTTGATGGCAGAGGGGGGTGTTGGTTTCGGTGGGGGGAGCCTTTGCAATGTATTGTGCTTTTGCAAGGATGCTTGGAAATGTCATTTTTTTAAAGCGGTTTCACGAAGAGAAACGGTAGAGAGACCGTTTCTTTGGTGTCCTCCAGTTTTCTCTGATTCATGGTGAAATCATCACTCCCACCTCAGACTTGCTCCCAAATTGCATTGCCTTGCCAGGCTGAGATATCCCGCTTCTCCTGTGTTCTCTGTGCAAGTTGTTTGCAATTGAAACTTGGTCTCTCCTGTGAAACTCGCCATGGCAAATTTTAGGAAACAGGACAGTGTCCTGTCTGAAGATGCAGGCTCTAGGACTTCTCCTCCCTCCTACCCATGGTGTGTATATTTCACATTTTTCTTTCCAATAATAGGTGAACGTTAATTTTCTTCTCATTTTTCAACAGTAGATGTAATACAATATGGCAAATTAGACATCTGAAAAAATAGATTTGCTTTCTTGACTCCGTGCCCGTGTATCTCTTTATATCAGTATTGTCTGCCTGGGACTGGCACCAAGTTTGCTTACTGTACACTTGTCTGCACTCACAGACATCTTATTGCACTTGGTTTTTGATTGACTTTGGTGATAGGCAGGTATCTGGGGATATTGGTTGCAATGGTCTACCCGGCACTCTAAGGGGTTATCTATGTCCAACTGCTCCTTTGATTAAGACAGCGACTGCGATTGGGGGAAAGGAGAGATGCTCCCCAAGTCACACAGCGGGCTAGACCCGGAGCGCCTGACTTAGACGCCAGCCTGACCACTGGTCACTTTCTTCCACCTGGCGTAGATTAAGGTCCCAAGAAGGGTCCTTTAGCAGATGTGCATCTGAGAGATGGTTTCCTAGACAACCGCTAACCCATTTTGGTACCACAGGTACATTGTTTTACTTTCTTATACTTCTGTCCTTTTGCTAGACATCTGTGAAATGTGGGTGAGGAACCTCCTGGAGAGGGAACAGTTCAATACTTTATGGAGGGTTTGATGGGAACTTTAGGATGGCCTTTCTCCTTGATTTGGGAAAAAAGTTTTCATAACTAAAAAGAAAGACTTTGGGGTCATTACCACCTATTTGCAAGGTACTAACAAACATGAACGAATGACAAGAACAGAGCAACAAAGTGCCCAAGAATCGAGACTAGCGATGCCACACACTTTCCAGAGGAAGTCCAGTCTTAGGCTGCGAGTCCAATGTAAAAAGTGCTAACCATTTTGCCGTGTTCAACTACTTCCACAAAGACTTCATGCTTGGTAGACTAGGAAGTCCATGAAAACAGGAACACCTCACGGAGACAGATTGCTCCAGTGGCGGTTTGCAACCCTGGGCTCACCCGTAGGCACAATTGTGAGGATGGCGCAGGACGGGCCAGGGTTTGGTTCTAGTGGACACACGTTTGCTATGAGTCGGAACCAGCTGGAAGGCGGGTAAGCACAGTAACAATTTGGAAATAAATTGTCTTGGTTACTTTAATGAGGCAGGGTTAGTGTGGGCTATATTTTGAGTCAATCTCTTTTGAGATATCAAAGAGCTAGTCAAGCAAGCTAAGAAGCAGAGAGAGGGAGGAAGCATGCCAAATCACATGAAAAACATATTTGCTTTCGTGACTCCGTGCCCGTGCATCGCTTTCAATAGAAGCTCAAAAGCAATAAGTACCTTTCTCTAAAACTGACAGAGCGAAAGCCTTCCCCGAGAGCCAGCACCCTGAACTTGGACTTCCAGCCTCCTAAGCTATAAGGGAAAAGATTTGTTTGCGAAAGCTTCTCGCCTGGGGTTATTCTATCACAGACCATGTCAGCATCCGGCATGTTGTCATCAGTGACCCAGGTCTTCACGGGCTAAGAAGAGTGTCCTGGGTTTGTAATCTTGACAACAGCGCTTAAGCATGGAGAATAAATGAGCCAGAGTTTGCTCAGAGTCACCTCTATGAGAAATAGAACTCGGGCTGTCCTTCGCCCAGACTTGGAACACTAGGTTCATGTTAGGGGAAGTGGGAGCGTTCTAAGATTTACTAAACTATTGAGGAGAGATGAGACCAAAATGGACTTTCAGCTTTTTGTCCGTCAGAACAGGTGTGCTTTCTAAGTGAAACTGGTATCATCTTGAAGTGTTACCTCGGACCTAAAACAACAGGGAGGACATAAGGATGGCTCTTAGTAGCAGGTGGAGTGTTGCTGCTTCATCGCCCTGTCATGATTCAAAGGTCTCAGCACTTCAGAAGAGAGAGAAAAAACAAGACTTATCCCAGGATGCCATTTGAAAATTACCCCATACTCTTTTATTTCCTTTGAATGAGGTAAAATAGGCACTAGTTACAGATTGAAATGGCCAAAGATTTCACATTCTGTGCTTCTCTGTAGCCATTCCATAGCGTCACGACTCAATCACTCTTCACTGATGATCTTGGTGTGCACCTCCCGGCTCTTGACCCGCAGCTTGTTGACCTGGGACTCGGCAATGTCGGCCCGCTCCTCGGCCTCCTCCAGCTCGTGCTGGATCTTGCGGAACTTGGAGAGATTCGTGTTGGATTGTTCCTCCTGGGAATGAATATAGAATCGTCAGGAACCTGTAGTATGCATATTTCTAGACTGTGTATAAAGGGAAGAAAGGACCTGTCATCTGCCTCAATTCTAACTTACAAGTTGGATTAGACCAGAGCATGCACATTGCTACAGATAAGAGCCCACAACACAGGGAATCTGGGATAGATAAACCCCTCAGGGACGACAAGGAGAGTAGAGATACCAGGAAGATTAGAGGATGGTGGGGGGAGGATGAGGGAATCAATCACCAGGATCAACCTAGAACCTCCTCCCAGGAGGACGAATAATGGAAAAGTGGGTGAGGGGCGATGGAGGATGATGTAAGACATGGAAAAAATAATCTATAACTTATTAAGGGTTTGTGAGGGAGGGTGGGAGATGGAGGGAGGGAGGGAGGGGGAAGAAATGGGGAGCTAATATCAGGGAAGAGAATGCTTTGAACATGATGATGGCGGCATATGTGCACATGTGCTTGACACAATGGATGAATGTATGGATTGAGTTAAGAGATGTAAGAGCCCCCAATAAAAGTATTTAAAAAAAGAAGATGTTGCCTTTGTTGAAATTATATTTTAAATAAGAAATACTAATCCTCTGTGAGTAAGGCTAACTCGTTCTCATTTCTAGCATTGTGGGTTTGCATTTTCTCCTTTGCCCTGATTAAACTAGTTATAAGTGTATTCGTCTTATTAAGTTCTCCACAAAAAATTTAATCTTAAAAAAAATTTTTAATCTTACTACTTATCTCTCAAATGAGAATTTAGATCATATTAAACTAGAAATTATTAAATATTATTGAAATTATTCTATATTCTATAAATTATAGAAATTATTAGATATTATTGAATTACCAAATTAGGAATTACTATCCCCAACTCATCGATTTCTACCTTAATCTTTAACAGTATGTCTTAATTTAATTTATTGTTGTTATACTTATTATTTATAATTTCTTAATTGGATGGTCGATTTTTTCATTTATTTTTTACTCATTATAAAAGCATTTTAAAACAGGGAATTGACCTCCAAAGATAGCTCTGACTACATTCTATAGGTTTGTATGAGTACTATCTTCTCTGTAATTTATTTATAAATAATAGTTATTTCATAATTATACTCCTTTATTTCCACTTTAACCTAATACTTATTTAGGAAAGTTTTAAGAAATTAACATTTGTGTACATTGGAAATTTTGTTTATATTTTCTCATCACATTCCAGTCTTATTACATTTTGTCCATAGAATGTGCTTTGTATTTTTTAAATTGTTGAGAATCTTGTGTATTGAAAATGTATGCTTAAATTTAATTAATATAAAAAGTATACTAAATCAATCATCATGAAAGTGTTTCTGTAAAGAAGTACACTGTCTTCCATAGGCAACGAGCTTTTTATAAGGAGAGATGGTCAATATACTGATGTCTTATAAGCAGTGATGAACCTGGGGGCTTCTTTATTCCTGTCCACCCTAGGGATACTTACAGCCTCCTCAGCTTGTCTCTTGTAAGATTTAACTTTGGCCTGAAGCTTATCTACCAAATCCTGAAGCCGGAGAATATTTTTTCGATCTTCTTCCGTCTGAAAGATTATAAAAATAGCAGGAATTGACTTTAAAAGCCAAATGACCAGGGCACCCTGGCATGGGAGTACTTGACGTACATTGGGAAGAGGGTTTAGCTGATTAAAAAAGAGCCATACCTGGTAGGTGAGCTCCTTCACTCTTCTCTCGTGTTTGCGAAGACCCTTGACAGCTTCAGCACTCCGCTTTTGCTCATTCTCAACCTCTCCTTCCAGCTCCCGCACCTAGAAAGCAACAGGCTCATTTGGACAGTGACCTAAGGAAGCATTGGGGACAGATAGCAATAGGCAGGTATTGGGAGACCCACCCTGGCCTCCAGCTTCTGGATCTGCTTCTTGCCCCCCTTGAGGGCCAGCTGCTCCGCCTCATCCAGCCGGTGCTGCAGGTCCTTCACCGTCTGCTCCAGGTTCTTCTTCATCCGCTCCAGGTGGGCACTCGTGTCCTGCTCCTTCTTCAGCTCCTCCGCCATCATGGCCGCCTGACCGGAACACAAAGGGCCAGTTCAGAGAGCTGAGATGCCGCAGAGACATTCCAGCTTGACCAGCGCTGCGGCGTAGCCGTCCACTCACATCGGTGATGGCCTTCTTGGCCTTCTCTTCTGCGTTGCGGGCTTCCTGGACAATGTCCTCCATCTCTCCTTGCAGTTGGGAGATGTCCGTCTCGAGCTTCTTCTTGGTGTTGATCAGGCTGGTGTTCTGTTTAAAGATAAGTTCTTTTTTTTTATCTTGCCACCAAAGGACTTAATAGTGGCTCTTAAAAAAATTTTTTTAAGGAAAAACAAAACAAAACTTGCAAGTCACAATGCCCTTCAATATGAAAGAATTTTGTTTTGTGATACCATTAAATAGAACAGAAATGCTATAAAATACTAAGTATCTCCAAGCATGTAGTTTACAAATAGACTCAATGGCCAGTTGATAATTGTATAACTACCCTTTACCACTCATGGAGCAAAAAACTATAACAGATGTTCTTAACATTCCATTTCTTCACAACAACAAAAAATGTCAACGTTGAGAATAAGGGCCAATAAAAAGAGTGCTACAGTATGATGTGGACTGTCTCAGAATGTCTTGGGAAGTGAATAAATAATTATTTAAAAGAAAGACAAGAAAGATAATGTCAGTAATACACTGAAAACTTGGTAGATGCCTATAAAATCTGGAGCTCATAAGGAAAACTCAAGCTGGTCATTTCTGGGACACGTATCATCTACTGAAGGGAGGGGGCGGATTCTTGGCGCTGAACCCCACCTGGGTGTGCAGGAGCTGGACGCGCTCACTGGCATCCAGCAGCTCCTGCTCGGCAATCTTCCTGCTCCTCTCCGTCTGCTCCAGAGTGGCCCGCAGCTCCTCGATCTCAGCCTGCAGCAGGTTGGCTCGACGCTCCACCATGGCCAACTGCTCCCTCAGGTCCTCCTGGCCCCGCAGAGCATCGTCCAGGTGGATCTGGGTATCCTGCGCCATGAACACCGTCATTGAGACACCAAGTCCGCAGAGTTCCACTCACCTCAATTGCCGGGGACGTGCCTGGACCCCTTTACCTTGAGGATGCCCTGCGTGTTCCGGTAGTTCCTCAGGGCCTCGGCAGCCATGCGGTTGGCGTGGTTCAGCTGGATCTCCATCTCGTTGAGGTCTCCCTCCATCTTCTTCTTGACCCTGATGGCGTCGTTCCTGCTCCTGATCTCGGCGTCCAGCGTGCTCTGCATGGACTCCACCACGCGGACGTGGTTCCTCTTGAGCTGGTCGATTTCCTCATCCTTTTCTGCAATTTTCCTATCGATCTCCGACTTGACTTGGTTCAGCTCCAGCTGGATGCGCATGATCTTTCCTTCTTCGTGTTCAAGAGATGCCTTCGTGAGAGGAAGGGGGTGACGTTAATCAAGAACCCAAGCATTCTGCGGTTTTAGCGGTACGTCTTGCTTGCATCGTTTTTATTCAGTCTATACAGATGGGCCACATGTATTTATTTTCGAACGTGTGTTTTTGGGTTTTTTAAATCATTTTAGTGGGGCTCATACAACTCTTATCCCAATCCACACATACGTCAATTGTGTAAAGCACACGCACACATGCATTGCCCTCATCATTCTCCAAACATTTGCTTTCTGCTTGGGACCTGTACCTCTGCTTCTTCGAGTGCAGCCTGAAGTTCGGACTTTTCTTGTTCCACCTGCTTCTTAATTTTCTCCAGCTCATGGATCCGCTTCCCTCCCTCCGCGATCTGCTCCGTGAGGTCAGAAATCTCCTCTGTTGTTTTGGGTCAAAGACAGGTGGGGAATCGGTCAGAGGTTGCCATGAAAGGAAAGCTCTTCCCAGCCGTGGGCCGTATGGAAAGCGAAAAGAACTCACGCTGCAGGTTCTTATTTTCCCGCTTCAGGGTCTCCAGGTGGTCCAGGGACTCCTCGTAGGCGTTCTTCATCTTGAACAGCTCGGTGCTGAGGGAGCGGGCCTCCTTCTGAGAGGCCTCCAGTTCCGCGTGCGTCTCCTCGTACTTCTGCTTCCATTCTGCCAGGATCTGTGAGACACAGCAGTCAATGACAGCAGAAAACCAAGCGCACTGCCATCGAGTCCCAGCTGACTCATGGCGACCCCCTGCAGGTTTCTGAGTCTCTAAGTGGAAGTAGTGCTGCACGGAGTTTCGAACCGCTGTCCCTGCGGATCGCAGCTTAACACGTAACCGCTACTCCACCAGGACGTCCACAGCAGGAGAGGCCAGAGGAAGATGGATGGAGCGTAAGCTATCCCCACAAGTCACCTTGTCAAAGTTCCTTTGCTTCTTGTCCAGCGCTGCGCAGGCCGCGTTGGTTCTCTCCACGTCCAGCATGAGGTCCTCCACCTCGTTCTGGAGCCGCTGCTTCGTCTTCTCGAGGGAAGCGCATTTGGCGTTCACCGCCTCCACGTGCTCCTCGGCTGCCTGCAGCCGCTGGGCCAGCTTCTTCCTGAAGAGTATGTGTATGTTTAGAGAGAAGGGAACCAAACCACAGGCTTTGGAACTGTCGCCCCCCTGAAAGGTGCTGGAAACACCCTGGTGGTGAAATGCCTTATCCAGGTGGCAACTCTTGATGGGCTCCTTTTTGTGGACCAGACACCTGAACCCGCTGCCCTCCAGTGCATTGGGGCTCCTCACTGCCCGACAGCCTCGGTAGGGTTCCTGAGACTAAGTATTTATAGGCGCAAACAGTCGCACCTTTCTTCCGTAGAGCGGCTGGTGGGCTTGAATCGCAGACCTTTCGGTCAGTAGTCCAGTGCCTGAGAAGTGCAACAATGCTGAGACACCTGTGAGCTCACTATGTTGGACAAATAGCAGTAAGACTTCTACGTATTCGTGAAATTATCTGTTATTCTTTGTTTCCTCAACTGGATTTCAGGCCTACAGGGCAGGGACCATGCTTGGCTTTATCCCTGTCTTATTCTCAGTGCATGAAACCCAACATGCCTTCAGTAGAGCTGCCCTGTAGGGTTTTCAAGGCTGTAAACTTTATGGAAACGCATGATCACATCCTTCTCCCAGGGAGTAGCTGCTGGGCTTGAACCATGGACTGCTTGGCTACCAGCTGAGGGCTTCATCACTGCACTGCTAGGTGTGATTAACCCAAAACCCACGGCCATCAGGTCAATTCCAACTCACGGCGACCCTTTACAGGGTTTTTGAGGCTATGAATCTTCAGAGAATCAGATTCAAACTGCCCACCTTTTAGTTAGCAGCCCAATCCATGGGCCACTATGTCACCAGTGTGTGGGAAACTCAGCTGCTCGGGGGGCATTTGTGAACTAATTCTCCACACCTCCAAAGGTGGTATCTTTCTGACTCAAATGTTCTGTCGTTTCATGTCTTGGTGCACATACTTGGCCTCCTCCAGCTCCTCTGTGCGCTGGATGGCGTCCGTCTCGTATTTGGTCCTCCACTGGGCCACCTCGCTGTTGGCCTTGGACAGGGCCCGCTGCAACTCGGCCTTGGACTCCTGCTCCTCCTCATACTGTTCCCGCAGCAGGTCACAGTCATGGCGCGAGGACTGCAGGGCGTGGGCCAGGGCATTCTTGGCCTGCCAGAGTCAAGGGAGAAGAGCAATGGTGGATGCAAACCGAGGCCAGGGCGTTCTTGGCCTACAGAGACAGGCTTTCATCTTACTGGCTGGTAACAATTTAATTCTTAAGTTTCAGTCCCCTTTTAAGGTTTGGTGTGGTGTTCTCCCTGTAGGGCCAGGTCACTGGGGCAGTGAGGGGGAGGGAAAATAGCCACCTTTGATTCTTCTTCAAGCTGCCTCTTTAACTCCTCCAATTGTTGTGTGAATGCCTGTTTGCCTCTTGATAACTGAGACACTAGCGCTTCTTTTTCATCGAGCTGTCGTGAAAATTCACCTAATAGCAGGGAAGGGAGAAAGGGCACCATTTTTTTAAAGCGATGAAAAAATTCTGCAGACCTGTATTAGCAATCCTTTATAATTCAGACCCTGCCGCCCACCCCCCAATTCAGTTCTCACATGATTGAGGATTTTTTTTGGCATCTCCATGCTCAATGGCAAATTTCTAATTTGGGGGATGAAAGTTAAACATTAGTCTGAATGAACTAAATATAGCCCAAATTCTTTTTGTTCTCGCTATAGCTAATGCTTGCCAGGTCAGATGATATTGTGCAAACTCTGATGGCGATGACTATCCAAGAAGGGAGCTAGCTATGAGATTTCGTGGGCTGGTGGTCTAGCAGGAATCTACTTCATTCTGAGATGGATTTTACAAAGAAGAAGCTTGAACTGAAACAGACCCCACTAAAGTGACCCCCTAATTCAAACACCTCCTCTGGGGACCACAAATTCAAGGCCTTTGTGAAGGAGCCTGGCTCGGTCCTATTGAAGCCTTTTCCTCCAGCAGCATCCAAAGTTGACCGTGTATGTAGGTACCGTGAGCGTCTGAGTGCATCGGTGCATCACACGTGTGTTCAGCTGCGTTTATGACATTTTCACATGACCAACTGATTTGTTCTTAGCCACACACTCCTCTCTCCTAGGTGTCATGGAAGAGGGGGGATTACCAGATTCGGTCTGCAGGCGCCCTCGCTGCATGGTCAGGTCATTGATCAGCCGCTGCTGTTCTTCCTCCTTGGACTTCAGTTCACTCACTTGGTCTTCTAGGGTGCGGCACATCTTCTCGAGACTTCCCTGCATGAGCAAACACATAAGCACATGAAGACTTTGGGGGCTAGGCCTCTTTGCAAAGCAAACACATACAATATTTATTTTGATATATACCCCCACAACAAGGTGTCTTCCTTAAGATGTCATGTGGTAGACAAGAAATCTCTCTCTCTTTAGATTTCAGGCTTGCTGAACCAAGTTGGGAATATACCTGGGAGTATAAAGGAAACGGCTCGCGGCGAAGTTCCGTTCAATTTTAACATAAGCATTTATGGAATTATGAATAGCGTGTGGACGATGTTCTAAAGTCAAGATTCTGTAAGAATCACATGGTAGTTCTTCTAAAAGCATAGGCTGTTATGGTTTTTGCTTGTTGGGCAATTATTATCTCCGATTGGAGACCTGAAGAATACAGACAACCTACATCCAGAAAGTAGCACTAACATATGTTACTTATGTGACTGAGCTGCACCTTCTTTTATTTGTTTTTTTTCCCTATGTTGAGTGGAAATACTACCAATAAACATCTGATTCAAGTATTGCTTACTTCTCTGGATTACTGTTAGCAACAATAACGGTGTACACCAACTGTGATGTGTACATAAAGGATTGTTGTTGGTAATAACTTTTTCATCACCTATATATAGTACCTTGGCTTTGGAGACCGTCTCCACATTGCTGGCCAGGTCATCGATCTCCATCTTCATCTCACTCTTCTCCTTCTCCAGCTTCTGCTTGACCCGCTGCAGGTTGTCGATCTGCTCCCCGAGCTCGGCCACGCTGTCCGCGTGCTTCTTCCTCAGGGTGGCCGCGGTGGCCTCGTGCTGCAGGGTGGCCTCCTCCAGGTCCCTGCGCATTTTCTGGA